GTTACATCTTAAAAAATATAAAAAGTTATACATTATGAAGTTGTGAGATTTTTTTTTGTGTTCAATATTTGTTTTCCATATAGAAACAAAGGAAAACATTAAAGTAATGTCCTAGAGAAGATATGACTTGAAAGCCAAGTATTTCAAGAGTTTATATTTCAAATTTGATGAAGATAGCATGCAAAATGAGATTACTGTAAAAAGTTTTCTGAGGCTTTGTTGATGTCCTTCTCTCCCTCACCGTCAGAGGCACTTTTTAAAAAATGAAATCTCAAGCTAAAACATTTACAGTTGCTGAATGATTTGGTCTACATTCAAAGTTTCTATATCTTTGAAAAGAAGACACTCTGGGCTTTTTTATCCATCATCTAATGTTTATAATGCTTAAAATGAAAAAAGTTATAGATGCTTAAGTGATGTAAAAAAAATTGCACTGCACTAAACATTTTACATCATACAAGTATGTGAAATTTACGGAGATCCGGAAGGGACGTGATGGTGGGAGAAAAAAAATTTGGGTGGGAGAGAAAAAAAATTTGTGACAGAAAAACATATTTCCAAGGTTTTTGTAAATGGCGTGTACAGAAGCTGATCTGGGATCAGATTATAGTATGGAGCACGCCTGTCAGTGCTTATACTTCACTGGTTCAGAGGTTGCATATTAAGGCGACGATCGATGCACAGCTTTGAGGTAAAGAAAGTGAAACAGAATGGTAAAATACGGGAGAAAAAACGGGAGGGTTTACATGAATGAAGTGATCAGGAAGTGTTTGTGGAGAAACAGTTTTGCGAGCGAACGCAAAAAAAAAAACTTTAAAATATGTTTTCCTAGCACTCAGTTTTTTTTTTTTCTTCCACCAATTTTTTTTTCCTCTACATATTTTTTCCCCACCATCACATCCCTTCCGGGTCTCTGTAGATATTTGTACTGGTGCAACACAAAAAAGTACTAGGTCAAAAGCCACACATCTCCAATATTACGCAAAATTAAATTTCTAGAATTATTTTTCTGAGACAATGGCTGTGTCCGAAACCGCCTACTACTCAATAGGTACTGCTTTTGAATTTGAACGTACTACTCGGCCGTTAGAAAAGTATGTTCTATAGAGTACAAATGTGAAAAGTATTAATGGAATTTGGACGTACTACATCCGCCATTTTGTCATGGTCATGTGACCTACCTGCGTCAGTTGCGTCGCCTCACTTCCATTCATGAATTCTCTCATAGACCATTATGGGATAGCGCAGAATGCATGGGATGCGCACTCCAGAATGTCGCCGGAAGTAGTAAGTCATCCGCGTACTTCTCGCCTACTGATTTTTGAATTCTATGAATTCGGACATACTACTCGGCTCGCATACTGGTTTTAGCGTACTATATAGTATGGAAGTATGCGGTTTCGGATGCAGCCATAAGCCCCTTTCACACATACAGACCTTTCCAGAAAATTACCGGCAATTTTCCGGAAAGGTTGTATGTGTGAACAGGTCCTTTTTAAAAATACCGGTAAATTCGTTCTGGCTATTTTCCGGAAAGAGAAGTTGTAACATTACCGGCAATTTGCCGGAATGCTGCGCTGTGTGAATGCAGATGGAAGATTCCCGTAATAAGCGCGTGCACGTCTAGAACGTGCTGACGTGAGACGTCCGCTTTAGCCAATCACAACAGTCAGACGCATTTACGTCCGCGCGGTTTGTGAGAATAAAAACCTTTGAATATTTTTCCAGACACATTTAGCTGCTAGAAGTTAGTCAGATCACGTTTATATGTTCTTCTTAATGCCAACTGTGTAAATAATCATCGATGAGATGCTTATGATAAGCCGTTGTTTGTTTACCTTCAAGCTTTGCGTGCGCCTGTGAAACAGCCTGTGAGCGCCAGCACACGCACATATTATGAACATCTCGACATGCGAAAGTGATCCTGCGAAAGTTGTTCACAATATTGATCATCCACAGAGTTTGTAATTTAGTCAAATGTTTACAAACACAAGCGCAGCCGTTTAAAGCTCATTTGTGGTGAATGATGTCAGAATTTACCGGTATTTTGGAATGGATGTGTGAATGCTCTTTTCCGGAAAATTTCCGTAACGTCCTCGCCTGTGTGAACAGCGCTTTTTTGAATATACCGGTAAAGTCGTTCCGGAAATTTTCCAGATATTTACCGGTATCACTGTGTGAAAGGGGCTATAGTCTTGTGATTTTTCTCCCTCTCCTTGTTTGTGGAGAAGCAGTCTGATGACCACACGTACTGAAGGTTTCACACACCACTAATTTACAACATCAAAAGTCGACAGAGCAGAGATCGACATCAAATAATGCAATCTACAGCCGGAAAAAACCCAAAACACATGTAAATCACTTAAAACAGAACTTTTTCGAAGGTTAAAAGTTGTTGGATGAAAGATCAAAGTTCTCATAATGCAATTCAAAAGCATAAATAAATCAATAAACAATGAAAAAATGGATCAACTGTTAATTTATGGAGGTTTTCTCCAGT